TATCAATGAAGATAATGATATGACAGCAAGAAACGACCTCTCGGGTCTCAACAGTATCTGCGTGAAGCCCTAACAGGATATCTAGCATTAATCAGAACACATTTACTTAGTCACATGATAGAAACACAGATATCAACAAGAAAGAGTCACTAAGCGGTGCCCTGGAATGATCCAGACCGTATTTCTCACGGTTCACGCTCACACACCCGTCACTTGGCATTTGTGTCTTTTCGAACCCTCAGAACCAAGTTTGAAAGCGTTACTTACCTCAAGCCAAGCCAAAATCTAGCCCGCGATGCCCTTGCCTCTCGATTCGGCCTCCAAATGCCCCGAATCTAACCAAAATCTGTATGCTATCATTAATATACGCTAAAGGAATGAAACCCATACGAAAATTATCAAATTTACTCAAAAATCCCGAAATTGGCCAAACCCGACCCCGGGCCAATGTCTCGGAATTCGATAAAAATCACATCACAATAATCCTCATTCTCCCACGAGTCTATTCATACCAAAAGCATCAAAATCGGACCTCAAATGGCCCCTCAAATCCCCACTCAAAGCTCTCCAACTTCAAGCCCTAATCTCCCAACTTTCTTCCCTAGTTCCCACTAATACCATGATTAAACAATGGAAAAATGGTCATGAACACAAGTAATAAAGCTCAAGTGGCTTACCCAACTGATAACACTTGATTACTCTTGAGAAATCACTACCCAAGCTCACTTCCCGTCTTCAAAAATGGAGAAACTTATCAAAATTCGCGAAGAAGACCTTTTTATACCTTCTGTCCAGTGTTTTCCGCATCTGCGGTCTCAGTGTCGCTTCTGCGACGCCGCACCTACGGAAAAACCATCGCAGGTGCGGTTTTCACTTAACTGTGGAGGTTCCACTTCTGCGGTCAGCTTCCCGCCCCTGCGGTCTCGCAGGTGCGGTCCTTGTGTGCACCGGTGGTTCTCTTCAGCTCCTCAACTCTCCGCATATGCGGCCCAGTCTCGCTTCTACGAGGCTCGCACCAGCGGTCCCCAATCCGCAGGTACAGAAATGACAGAAGCAACAAAGTTCAGCTGCTCAACCAAATTCCAAATCCTTCCGATAACCATCCGAAATCATCCCGAGGCCCTTGCGACCTCAACCAAACATGCCAACAAGTCACATTACACTATTAAAACTTGTTCCAACCTTCGGAACACTCAAAACAACATTAAAACGTCGAAACACCCTCGGAATCAAGCCTAAGGATTCCGAAACTCCCGAATTCCAGAAACGATCAAAAAGCCTATCAAACCTCACCCGAATGACCTGAAATTTTGCACACACATTAAAAATGACACAACGGACCTACTCCAATTTCCAAAATTCCATTCCAACCCCGATATCAAAATTTCCACTACCAACCGAAAAATGCCAAAATTCCAATTTCGCCAATTCAACTCTAAACCTACCACGGGCCTCCAAAATACATTCCGATCACGCTCCTAAGTCCCAAATCACCTAACGAAGCTATCCAAACCATCGGAATTTACATCCGAGACCTTTTACACATAAGTCAACATCCAATTGACTTTTCTAACTTAAGCTTACTCAAAAGAGACTAAGTGTCTCATACCTCTTCAAAACCACTCCGAACCCGAACCAACCAACCCGATACTACACAATAAAACTGAAAAACACATAAAGAAGCAAAAATGGGGGAAACGAAGCGGTAACTCATTAAACGACCGGCCGGGTCGTTACAGAATACACCTCATCCACTTCTGGAAATGGCATAGACCTAGTGGGTCGATTTTCGTGATTTCATGAGCAAGTCATTATTTTGTTTAGCCACAAGGAGAAGAGAAATCAACTCAGAGTACTTCTTGAAAACTTTCTCTCTGTACTGCTGTTGCAGGACCATATTGGAGGCATGAAACGTTGTAAACGTTTTTTCAAGCATATCATAGTCAGTGATAGTATCTCCACAGAGTTTCAATTTAGAAGTAATTCTGAACATCGCAGAATTATATTCAGAAATAGACTTAAAGTCTTGGAGCCTCAGATGAGCCCAATCATATCGTGCTTGTGGAAGAGTGACCAACTTTAAGTTGGTATATCTTTCCTTTAAGCCATTCCACAAAACAAGTGGATCTTTGACTGTGAGATATTCTATTTTCAACCCTTCATCAAGGTGATGGCGCAAGAAAATCAAGGCCTTAGCATAGTCTTGGGTGGATGCTTTAGTTTTGTCTTTAATGGCATCTCCAAAACCCATTGCATCTAAATGGATTTCAGCATCCAACACCCATGTCATATAGTTCTTGCCCGAAATTTCAAGGGCAACGAACTTTCTTTTCATAATATCAGTCATAATTAAAAGAGGAGAAAAGTTATACCTTAGTCTTCTCAAAGAGCTTCTTGAGACGGTAGAGTCTTATGCTGATAACGTGTAATAAAACAATAAAAGTAGAAGAACAATATCGCAGAGAAAGAGAGAGTAATTCTTATTGAATTTTGGGATGATTTACAATGGGGTAAGACCCCTCTATTTATAGGGGAAAAATGACTTAGCCACAAAGTAAAACTCTCTAAAAGATAGACATTCACTCTAATTACAATTCTATTCATAATAATAGACGAATTTTCCATATGATTTTTTTTAAAAATGAATAGTTTACAAATGGATATTATTGTTTACCCGTGAAACAGTACAGTTGAATTTGTACGTGGTTTATAGACAGCGAATCGATTTGATCCCAAAATGATAAATAAATTAAATAAAAATACAAGACTTAGCGTTAAAATCGAGATAAGACAGCAGATAGCTTGGTTCGGGGAGCACAGCTTCCGATGGCAATAATAAGAATATCAATAGACGAGAAATAAAATTTTATTGAGCTTAGAACTTAACGAGATTCGTCGCATTGTTCCATCGCAATATGGGATCAAGGGTGAATGCAATATTGGGTACTTGAGGGATAGGCATGTCCTTATACGTATGACACTATGGCAAGATTTTCTAGATTTCATGTCGAAGGGAGCCTAATATGTTAAGGATAAGTTTGGGAAAGAATATCAGTTACGCCCACTAATATATGATGTCAAATTCAAAGCAGGAGAAGAAACTCCAATGGCCATGGCTTGGATCTCTTTCCCAGGTTTGTTACCTACATACTTTGTGAAGGAGTGTCTTTTCTCACTTGCTTCAGCTGTTGGGAAACCAATTCACCTTGATATGGCCACAGTTAATAAAACTCGACCTAGTTATGCTAGGGTCAAAGTACTTGTGGACTTGCTAGCTGATCATCCCAAGAAGGTAAGGATGGATATTGTTAATGAATCAAGGATGGATATTGTTAATGAATCAACTGGAGAGACAAGGGCTGAATGGGTTAATATAAAATATAATATGTTGCCTAAGTATTGTAAGGAGTGTAAGTTACAAGGACATGATCAGTTTGAATGTTGGAGGTTGCATCCAGAGTTGTATGTGGAAAAAGAGAATTCCAATCAAGATGCAAATGCTAAAGTACAGACCAATGCTAGTGCCCAGCCTTTGATGATCTTATCGAGTGGCAAAGTGGTGGGTAATTTACATGGGAATACAAAGGAACAATAGAAGGAAGTTAGGGACAATAGAATTAGGAATGGGGTGAATCCAAATGCAGATCAAGGCAAAAACTGGAAAAGAAATAGTATTAGTTCAGCAGAGTGGTGATCAGTTAACTAATGGTGTCAACAAGGATGGGAATACAGGGCAAAAAACAGGTGAACAAAGGGGTGTTGAAGAGCAGTTAACCCCGGTGGGCAATGAGACAAGCAAGCAGGTGCAAGTAGCTAATAAATTTGCAGTCCTAGAGGTTGTTGATGAGGAAGATGAGCCTGGTAATCAGCTGGCATTGGTTGAAGCTAGTGCTACTCCTAATACTCCAGGTAATGGGAACCAAGGTGAAAGGTAAAAACATACAGGAAATTTGAACCCTGCAGCTCCAGCTTTTAATCCAAATTCATCTGGGATTGGCTCTGCTAATAATCGAGTGAATACATATCCTAAAGGTAAGGCCAAGGAAATACCTAAGACTAAAGATCCACAGCATAATGGGTAGAAAGAACATTCAATACAAAGACAGGTGAGGGATCAGTGGGAATTAATACATCATACCAGGACATTCCCTTTCAGGACACAATGGTAGATAAGGAATTGGCTAAATCTCCCGCATTACCAGATGGAACCAAATTTCCCACTTTGCAGGAAAGAGTTCAATAGAGAGGAGGCAGATTGTGGTCTGATCAAAGGGAAGAAGATTCAGAAGCAGATGAGGTACCTGAAGGGGCAAAAGTTGATGAGGAACCAGTTGTAGAAGAATAAGAAGAGGAAGAGCAAAGTGTAAATGATAACCCCACTGCCATAACAGACAAATCCAATGCTACCAATTTGGATAAGGGTAATGAGGTGCCAATTGATCAGGAAAAAGCTAATGACACTCAAGTGGCTAATAGCAATGATAGACCTAGTCATCGGAGTCAGATGGAAGAGGTGTTGAGGCAGTAGATCCAGGAGGAACTGAGGAGGTTTATATTACTATGCAGATGATAGAGGCTTCTCCAGCACGAATGGCTACTGTTCCACTGAAATCATCACAGCTGAAGTTGCTAAAGAAAGGAGGAGAGCATGCTGTGATAGCAAATTTTCAAAATGCAGGTAATATGACCACTATGGGAGAAACTGATGCAAGGGATCCATATGATGAGAATGACAATTTAGGCAGAGACATGGACTAGGAATCAACTACTAAGAACTTTTTAAACGTGGCAAGGCAAGGAGACTTATCACCTAGGCACATTGAGAAGGTCAAGTCTGCAGCAAAAGGTAGAAAAAAGTAGCAGAAAGATACCAACACTGTTCCTGTTGTTGGGGTACAAACAAGGAGAACATTGACTAAATCCAGTAATCAGTAATGAATGCACTTATATGGAATATTAGATCTGTAAAAACATAATAAGCTTTTGAAAGATTGATCAAAATGCACAGGCAAAACCATTATGAATTCATTGGTTTGATGGAACCTAAACAACAAGCAAAAAAATTGGAGAGGTACAGGAGGAAAATTGGCTTTGCACAGGCAATATCAAATGTATCAAACAAGATATGGGCATTTATAGATGAAGTTTTTGAGGTGACTATAATGTATAATATGATTCAGCAGCTGACTCTTCGATTGTTTCATACAGAATCTCATGTTGAGTTTGTGTTAACACTCGTTTATGCTAAATGTGACTCAATTGAGAGAATAGAATTATGGGATTCTATGTATGATATGACTACTGATATGACTGTTCCATGGTTAGTTGGAGGAGACTTTAATGTCATTTGGGATGAAGAGGAAAAATTTGGAGGTCTTCGTGTATCTCTCAATGAGATAGATGATTTTAGACACTGTGTAACCACATGCAACTTGTCAGATCTTGGATTCAAAGGAAGTATATTCACCTGGTGGAATGGAAGAGTAGAAGATGACTGCATATTCAAGAGATTGGATAGATGCTTGGCTAATACAAAATTCCAAGAAGCTTTTCCAGGATTAGAGGTAACACACCTATCCAAGACAGGGTCAGATCACAATCCAGTGCAGTTGAAGTGTGACATGAAAGCCCCTCCAATAAGGAAACCCTTTAGATTTCTGAACTTCTGGGTGGAGCATGATTCTTTTAAAGAAGCTGTGAAGCAGAATTGGAGTGCAGTCCTCCATGCCAACCCTTTCACATTATTCAATCACAAACTAAAGAAGGTGAAAAAGGCTTTGTCAGTTTGGAGCAGGGCAACTTTTGGTGACATCTTTCAAAAGATAGCTAGCCTAGAAGAAGTTGTACTGGTGCATGAAACAGAATTTGAAGCAAACCCCACAGTTATGAACAGAGAGAGACTCCAAAAAGTGCAGACAGAATTGATCAAAGTACTAGCATTGGAAGAAAAGTTCTGGAGGCAGAAATCTGGAATGAATTGGTTCAAGGATGGAGATAGGAATACAAAACTCTTTCATGCTCAAGTTAGAGGTAGAAGAAAGAGGTTGCAGATAAATAGAATACAGAATAATGAGGGAAACTGGATTGAACAAGATGATGAGATTGCAATGGAAGCAGTTAAGTTCTCCAACTTCCTTTGAGATCATAAACTGTCCCAACATTGCTTGATGAAGAGCAAAACTCATTATTGATATCACAACCAACAAAGGAGGAGGTTAAAAGGGCAGTGTTTGGTCTAAATGGAGATAGTGCAGGGGGTCCAGATGGTTTTACTGGTAAATTTTACCAAAGCTCCTGGGATATAATAGGGCATGATCTGCATGATATGGTGAGAGCTTTCTTCAATGGACATGAGTTGCCTAAGTGTGTGACTCATACCAATCTTGTTTTACTACCAAAGAAAAAGGAAGTGGCTACATGCTCTGATCTGAGGCCTATAAGTCTCAGTAATTTCAGCAACAAGGTAGTGTCAAGGGTGATTCATGAGAGAATTGTGGAGTTGCTGCCAACATTGGTCTCTGAGGAACAAGCAGGATTTGTAAAAGGAAGGAGCATTGTGGAGAACATCCTTCTCACTCAGGAAATCATAACTGACATCAGACTTAGAACCAAGGTTGGGCAAAATGTGGTCATAAAGTTGGATATGACCAAAGCCTATGACAGATTATCTTGGTTATTTTTGACTAAGGTTCTAAGAAAGATGGGATTTTCAGAAAGGTTTATTGGCATGGTGTTTGGAATTGTCACAAATAACTGGTACTCAGTTCTTATCAATGGACAAGCTTCTGGTTTTTAAAGTCATCAAGGGGAGTTAAACAAGGAGATCCTCTATCTCCTACCTTGTTCATTCTAGCTGCAGAAGCACTATCTAGGGGACTTAATGCACTACATCAAAACTTATATTTCTGTGGATATGGTATGCCTAAATGGAGTCCAAAGATTAACCACCTAGCATATGCTGATGACACAATCATATTCTCCTCATCTGATGCTACTTCTCTTCAGTTAATCATGGAAGTTCTGACTGCATATGAGGCATCATCAGGTCAGTTAGTGAATAAATCCAAATCTGCAGTTTATCTTCATCACTTAACTGACTTGGAAGTCGCTCAAAAAGTGGAAGGATCACTGGGATTAAAAGGCAGGAGTTCCCTATTATGTATTTAGGCTGTCCCACCTTCTATTCCAAAAGGAAATTGGACTACTATCAAGGGCTAATTACCAAGATAATGGATAAGTTGCAATCATGGAAAGGGAAGTTATTGTCCATAGGTGGTAGAGCTGTTTTGATATCTCATGTGTTGCAGAGCATGCCAATGCATCTGTTGTCAGCTGTCAATCCTCCAAACTCTGTTATCAACTAAATGCACAAAATTTTTGCACAGTTCTTTTGGAGTAGTTCTATAGGGGGTACAAGCAGGCACTGGGCTTTTTGGAGTACTTTGTGCATGCCAGTAGAAGAAAGAGGGATTGGTTGTAGATCTCTTCTTGATGTTTCAAAGGCATTGTTCTCCAAACTGTGGTGGAATTATAGAACAAAGCCTAGTCTGTGGAGCTCATATATGAGTCAAAAGTATTGCAAGAAATTAAATTCAGTCATTGTGTCATGGAGAAGAGGATCACATATTTGGAGAAAAATGATAGAGTGTAGGGAGCTTATTGAGCATCAGATAGGGTGGCATCCAAAGATGGGATCATCTCTATTTTGGTTTGACAATTGGACAGGATTGGGTGCCCTATACTTCATTGTTCCACAAGACTTTGAAATTGATGAAACAGTCCATAATGTAATTGATGTTGTGGAGGATGGATCATGGAATGTGAATAGGTTGTTTCAGGTATTACCAGAAGATATAGCTTTACACATTGTGGAAAAGATCAAACCACCAATAGTTCAGAATGTGCTTGATGAACCATACTGTATGTTGGAAACAAGAGGTTTCTTTAGTGTCAAGACTGCCTGGGATCATTTGAGGAGAAGAGATGAGCCTAAGAATGCATACAGGAAGATATGGGTAAAGGGTTTACCTTTTAAAATATCTTTCTTCATGTGGAAGTTGTGGAAAGGGAAGCTGCCATTAGATGACTTTATGAGGAGAATAGGATATCTGATGGCATCAAGGTGTTGGTGTTGCTCAGAACCAAGTGAAGAAACTTTGCAGCACTTGTTCTTCAACTCAAAAACTGCAAGAATAGTCTGGAGCCATTTTCTCACAAGGGCTGGGATCAGAGTGCAAGGTTTAAATCTACATCAGGCAATTATCAAGTGTTGGACTGCAGAGGTGTGCCATAGACTAAAACCTATCGTGCAGGCACTTCCTTCATGTATTGTTTGGGAGTTATGGAAGAGGAGGAATAGTATGAAGTATGGGGATGCAGTATCTACAGGAAGAGTGATCTACCAAGTTTCTACAACAATGCAAGCTTTAGTGAAGGTGAGAAAACCAGGCATCAGCAATGTTCCCTATAGGTGGCATGATTTGATAACCATGATGGAGAACTACAAGCCTAGGCTGAAAGTAGACAGAGTATTATGGGAATTCCCTAGTGCAGGAGGGCTTAAAGTCAATACTGATGGTGCATCAAGGGGGAACCCAGGGAGAAGTGCAATTGGCTACTGTATAAGAGATGAGCAAGGTGATATAGTGTTGTCAATAGGGAAAGAAATTCAGGAGACTACAAACACTGTGGTAGAGGCAGTGGCTATAGTAGAAGCACTGAAATTCTGCAGATCACAACAGTACACACAGGTATGCATTCAAACAGATTCAATGTTGATGAAGAAAATTATTTCTGGGGAGTGGAAACCACCATGGCGTGTAGTTGATGAGGTTGAGGAGATTATGCAGCTAATGGAAGATACAAATTATGTGGTGTCTCATATTTTCAGAGAAGGCAATAAGGTGGCTGATCACCTAGCTAATTATGCACTAGATTCAGGAGACATAGAATGCCATGAGTTTTAGGATTTGGACTCACAAGGTAGGAGAATAGTGAATGAAGTTGCAATGTCCATATATAAGGATCAGAGTAGCCAAGAATTGAGGAGAAACGAAGAAATGGGAAGTAGAAGGCAGGGGTGTAATCTTGCTCAACATATCCAAATCTTTAGGGAGGAGGATGTGAAGAGCACTTTTTTCACTAACTGTTTGTTCATTTTTGCAGGGAATAATTTTGGATTAATACCTTATCCTTCAAGAATTTTTCCAGTTGGGGTCAGTACCTAGTATTCATCCCAATGGAAGGGGCTTGGAGATAGGCACAAACATTGGAACAAGGAAAAGCTTAGAACTGTGCAGCAGCTGGCACCATAGTGTTAGAAATTGGCTCTGGGATTTGGTAGCTGCTTCTGTACTGCTGCTATATGTTCTAATGAAATTCCTATTGGTGGTATTAATGCCTGGCATTCAGTCCAATGGAAGGACATTAAGACAAGACAGTAGTGCAGTAAGTTGGAGGACTATAAAGCTGGAGGAAAAGTGGAGTAAATTGCCCAGAAAGTATAAGAGAATTGGGCAATTTTTGTTGCAATTTGCAGGAAATAGGAGCAGGCAACACAAGACAAATGGCTCAATTGATAACAAGGAGAGCTTAGGGAAGAAATATGAAGCAAAAATGCCCAGAAAGCATAAGAAAATTGGGCTTCATGGACTGATGGCAAGTACACAATGGAGGGGCACAAATGCAGGAATATTTAGTAGGAAGCTGCCCAGAAAGTCTAATAGAATTGGGCAGCAAGGAAGAGGGGATACAGGGAACCAGGCAAGGAGTGTGGCAGAAACATATGTAGCTCTATCAGAGGGTTCATGTGGTTCTGCAATAAGAGAGAAAAAAGGAGAAGCAGGTGCAAAGGAGATGAAAATTAGGCCGGGGGAAAATATGGATCAACAACTACAACTCCAAATGGAGGAGAAGATGGTGATTGATTTTTTAACTAGCCATTTTATTTTTTTGCAGGAACTGTTACTGTCACTATGCCATGTCCTTTGAGGAAATTCCAGTTGGTGGTATTAGCACATAGTGCTCATTCCACTGGAAGAGAATCAAAGACATGCATAAGCATAGGGCCAAGGAGTCATTTGAGGACATATTGTGCTCATATTGATGCCAAAACCTAGTGGTGGAGGCTGGATCATAGTATTACTCACACCTATGTCCTACTTCAACCTAGGAAACACATCAGCTATTTTTCACAGATGATCACGAGGGTCACACAGAAGGGCAGATGCAAGAGACAATTGCCCAGAAGGATTGGTCACATACATAGGGCAAGTTGGTCCCTTTGGACAACAATAATGGGAATGAGGAATGCAATTGGAACTCAACACCAAGTGCATCTCTCATATTTGATAATCCACAAGGGAGGCCACACAAGGAGAAATACAAATAGATGCTGGAAATAACATGCAAATGTCAACAAAGGAGGCATACTCAAATATGATTCAAGGTACTGGAGCAGTGTGCTAAAAGGAGCTGCGTGGGAAATCACTTCTTTATCTCAACATGCAGGTATTTTGAAGAGTAATATACACCATGAATGTCACGACCCAATTCCCAAACCCGGTCGTGATGGTGCCTCTCGCGGAGACAAGGCCAGCCAGAACAACGCAACACCTCTTTCAAAGCAATTAATTAATATTAACAGTTCTAACACATGCTTAATATAGTCACTAATGCGGAATCAGCGATAGAACAAAGGAAAACCATCCCGACATAGCCCAAACCGGGGTGTCACAAGTCATGAGCTACTACAGAGTTTACTATCAGTCTACAAAGAGTAATATCGGATACAGTAGTCTGAAGAAAACATAAATGATATAAGATAGGGGAGACAAGGGGCTGCGGACGTCAACAACTACCTCGTATCTCCAAATCGCTGCCTGGTCTGGAAGGAATCAGCGCTCAGGTGCGGACTCTGCTATGCTTGAATCTGCACACATGGTGCAGGGAGTAATGTGAGTACTCCGACCCAGTGAGTAATAATAATAAATAATAACCGAAGGTATGAAAACACATAACTGCACAAAGCAATTCTATATCAGGCAGTAAAAACAGTAAAACAGTGGAACAGTAAAGGGTCAAATGAAATCTCCTTTTAAAATCAGGTAAATCAGGTAAAACAACAAGTAAATAGTGAGTT